CCCCCACCTATGCGAAGTAAATATATGTATATAATAAATTAGCTTTGCTTGCTCTAACACTATCTAAAAACTAACTCTAGCTACAGGAAGGGGTAGGAAGTTCAATCTGCACCTACTCTTCACAATTGTTGAAAATATGTTTAGGAAGGCATTTAAAGGGTAACGGTTTTTATTCGTGTTCTAGTATAGTCTGTTCAGGCGAGGTGTATTGGCTATGTGTGGTATAGAATTGATATTTGAATAAAAGTTATTTGATAGATGGGCTATGTGTTTGATGATGGGTTTTTATATTCAATTCTTTTTTGTTGTACTGTTGGATATAAACCATGGTGCGTGAGTTGCTAAACGGAGAAATCTATTTTGTATTATTTGCAGTTTATTATGGTTTGTGGCTTGAATGCGTTTGTCCATACGGGCATGCGTATAACAATTAATGGTCTGATTATAGATTTATATATTGTTTGTAGCATTGTCTATTGATAGGCAGCTTTTGGAGTTTATTAGAGGTTGTAATTGGGCTATTTTGCATTTTTGCTTGTGAGTTTTGATTGTAAGTGGGAGTTCAGTTCAGTTTTGTATCTAGGTTTAGTCCAAGGTATTTTACTGTTGAGAGTGAGGAGTCCATGGAATTGTGTTGTTGTTGATTGCAAAGGGAGAAGTGTAGAAGTGCTTAAGCGAGAATATTTTGGCAGTGGATTTTGTTGGGTTTAGTTTAATTTTCCATATATTGTTGACCAGTTATCTATTTTGTCTATGTAGATGTTTTTGTATTTTCCACTAATGATTTTAATTGAATGGCTGGAATTTGTAAATTATGCTGGATTGTATCGTCTGCAATTGTGCTATGTGGTCTGGTTGTGGCCGGGATATCTGATGAGTAGATATTAAATAGGAGTTGGTGAAAGTGGAGCCTTGTGAAGCCTGCTTGTATTTTACGGGGGTTGAATTGTGTTTTCTACTTGTCACTGTGAATGTTCTATCTGTTAAAAAAATGTTTTATAATGTTGACCAGGTAGATGGTGTTCCAATTGCTGCAGTTTAAATTAAGGCCTTGGTGCCAAACTCTGTCAAGGCTTGTGATATGTCCAGGAAGGTTGCTATTGTGTGCTTTTTATCTTGGTATGCTGAATGGATGTGTTCAGTTAGTGTAAGAAGTTGGTGTGAAGTGGAAAACTTGATTATAAAGCCAAACTGATGTTGGGGTATGTTTTCTGTTTTGTTTAAATAATTGTTAATCTTTTCAGAATTTGTTTTCAAGAATTTTTGACAGTTGGCAGCAAACGATTGGCCTGTAACTTTCGATTACTGTGATTTTTATTTGGCTTTGGGATAGGAATAATTTTTGAGTTTTTCCAAGTATTGGATAGTAACCAATCTTAATATTGAGTTATAAATATTTTTATGAAGGCTATTGTTGGAGTGGTAGGTTTTTTATAATTTATTGTTAATATTATCATGTCCAGGGCTTTTTTTGAGGGGAGACTTTTTATTAAATTCCTAATTTCATTTGGTGATATATATTTTGTTTTTTGTGGAACATTATAGTTCGGAGCGGAGACGAGTTTGCAATTTGTATATGTTCTGTGTGGGCTGGAGGTTATGAGCGGTAAAAAGTACTTTCAAAGAGTCAGGTAATGCTTCAGCTTTGTCTTATGGGGGAAAAGTTTTTTCCCAGATGGCGTGCTTATAGGAGGATGGTGCTTTGCTTCTTAACATTGTTTTAGTAAATTTCCAAAGTGAGTTGTGTTGAGCTTAGGGATTTGATTTAAGAGTTGTAAGAAGAGTGTCGGTGTTCTTTAATTGCAGTTTTGGTTATCTTGTTTAGGATGTTAAGCCCTTTTTTTATTTGGGATTTCTCTGTAATTTCCAAAGTCTCTTGTTCTGTTTCTGGTTTTAATATGGTTATTATGGATCTGGCAATTTAGATGTGTTTTGGGTTTTATTTGCTATGTGTCTTTGTTGCTGAACGATAACACTGCGTACTATATTGTTTAGTAATGCTATTGAAGTTTCTATGTTCTAAAGGCGTTTTTAGATTCCTGAAGTTTGGGGGTTCTGATAATATGTTTTTTCTAAATTCTTCCAGTTATGTTATTAGTATTTAATGTGGGTGTGGTGGGGGCGGTTGTTGATGTGTAGATATTATTAAGGGAGGTGATCAGAGTCAAGTTCGTGTAGCACTGTGGAATAAGTTAGTCCGATCGTTGGTGATTGCATGTCTAATGTGTCTGGGTGTTTATTTGAGTCGTATGAGTAGTAGGTTGGTTCTGTAGGAGTTAATGTGTAATTTTGCGTTCGTTAATATTGTTTGTAAATGTTGCCTGCGCTGTTTGTTATCTGCATCCCCAGTGGTGTTTTTGGAGTTCAAATCTCCTAATAGTAAAGTAGGGGTGATTTGATTAAATAGCGCTGCGATGTTTGTGTCTTGAATTTTTTGTTTGGAGCTTGTATGCTGTTATAATGGTGTATACTCTGGTGTACAGGTATTTTTTAAAGCGACCGTTCTAATCCAGGAGTGTTTGGTATTTGCTGTGGTGAGGTATTGATTTATCCACAAGGATGAGGACACTCCCCCTAGCATTTATTCCGGCTCGTTCTGACTACATTGTAACCGCGGCATATTGAATGTAGTGGGATTCGAGGTGTTGTTTCCGTTATACCGCTATTTTGATTTCTTTATCTTTAAGGAAGTAAATCAATTCGTTTTGTTGGTTATGCCATGGCATTCCAGTTTAGCAGGTTAATTGTATTATGGGGCTGTGTGCCATGATTCCTATGAAATACGACGTGAGTGAATTTTGTATATTATTGCGATTGTTGGGATAATAGTATTAATAGATTGATTATGTATGATGAAATAGAGTTTATTATTGTGTGCATGAATGAATTATCATTACTAATATTGTTGCTATTAAACATTAAATACTGTTGATGGTTTGTTTGATTCCTGTTATGGTTTCTATTGATTGATTTGTTACGTGGGTAAAGTTTGGTATGTTGCTAGTGGTTGGTAGATTAGGAAGTTTTGGGAGTTTAGATTAGCTGATTAACATTGTGGGCGTTTCGTACTTGAACGTCCTTTCTGGTCATTTAGGGGGGTGTCTCTACGAGCTTTTTGTAGTTCAACTGATCATTGCGTTCAACGACGCATCAACATTCACTGATCTCGCGTCTGCGCGGTGCGGACCGTTACAGTTTTTGCAAATAGGAGGGTTTTCTTTTTGGGGGCAAATTACTGAATGATCTTTAGCACAATAAATGCATGCTATATTTGATTGCAGTTGTTTCTGGTGTTGCCCGAATCTAGACATTGGAGGCATTGATAGGACCTTTGGCTTTGCGCCTTTTTTTCTGGCTTGACAATCAGGTTGCAAATTTGATTAATTTGTAATATACTGTCTATGGTTTGGCTACCGTTGAACTCGGCTGCCACTACCGGATGGGATGTTGTTTTTATACAGTCTAGTTACACTAATAAGCGATGGGCACTTTCCTTGAGGTCTTGATATATTTCTTCCTGACTAATAGATGGATGAAAATTCTAAAGACAATGGAAAATTTTTGTTTGCTGGGGTCTTTATACGTGTGGAATTTTCTGTTGGGTTGATTAGTATATTTTTATTGCCTGTCTAAAGTCGAGATAGTTTTGAAAGCACTTTGATTTTGTTATTGACAATGGTTGAAGTAAACTGGTTTGTTATGAGTTCTTAAGTTCTCTATTAAATTCTGCAACATATGAATAGGGCTACAAAGATGGGTGGTATTTTCATGTTTAAATTGGTGAGGCATTATTTTGTTCATTTATGAATAGAAACCTATTGTCCTCGCGCCGTCACTTTGTTCGCCGAGCTCAGAGTATCTTGTTCCTTATAGTAATTGTATTGAAACTCAGTGGGTTTTTTGATTTTGCACTCGTATTGTTACTGGTCCTATTCATTTTCTTACTCTCGAATCACTTTCACTATCACTGACTGACCCTTTCTGCGCCTGAGCAGGTTGTGATGATGGGAGGATGACGAACGTAGATCTGGCTGAGGTAGGCAGGGTTGTTGCTGTCCTCGGTGCTGGTTGGAAATGGCGCTCGCAGGTAGCTTATATCCATGGCCTCGTCGCTTGCTAGTATGGTGACACTGGTGAACGACACCGTTGTCGCCGTTGTGGACGATGCGCAGGGCTTCAGATATTGTTTTGCCCGTGGTCTGGATTAATGGCATAGGCCATTAATATCTTTTCTTAGCTAGTTGTGATCAGAGCTGTTTGTCACCTAACACTAGCACGAAACACTATAGTCACTCGGTTGCCTCAACGTAAGATAAAACTCTGAGGGCAGCCTGTCCAGCGCGGAGCGATATCGACTGCGATAAGACGAACTGCACTGTACGTGGTCGAAGAGAGAATGACGGCGCTGCGCTACGGGCGGTAGGGCGCGCGGGCTGTTTCCTGTGGTGGTTCGGTCTCTTCCGCTGCGAGTACGTCAGAGTGGGGGCCAGATTCACTAGCCAGTGATTCAAAGAAATTACGTAGCGGTACGCTTGTGGTGTTTCTGCTAGCTTCGCCTGCTCCGAAGAAAGAGCTTCGGCGTGATAAGCCGTCTGCGTCAGTTGTTGTCGCTTTGTTTTTTTCCCGTAATTCGGGGCACTTGTAGGCGATAATTCTGGATTTTGGTTGGTTTGGTTGGGGTCAGATATCGATAGAATTGCTCTGCTGAGTTCGTCGGTGCTAGGCGTCCTTGTCATTAGTGAGGTCTTTGCTCTGTTTATTGAGTTGGGGTTGTTGATTCGGGGTTGGAAGAGAGAGAGGCACTACAAGAAGCTACGCTCCCGTCCTTACCGCCGCTGTCTTTGTGAGTTTCTGTGTTGGTGGAGGCAACCAGTCTCCTTTCTGGTGTGGGCTGGGCTTCCTGTGTGCGCGAAGATGTTGCCCGACGGGCAGATGCTGGAGATGCTCAGCCGCTGATGCGGCTGCTTTCTTGTATCTTCATGGCACACGCGGCCGAGCGTGCATGCCATTTACACCATGCACTGCACTGTATTTTTTGCTCTTTTTCTTAAATGCTCATTTTAGATGCAGTGCACGTGTTATGTGGAGCAGCGCGAGCGCTGGCGTAGGGCCTTGGGTAAGGCAAGCGAACGCGGCGAAGTTTCGCTTAGCGTAAGCGGCCGGCGCGGAGGGAGCGGGCTTGCTACACTCGCGACGCGCTCGTCGGTGCGGGGCGGCGAGGAGCGGGTGATGCGCGACTCGGAGCCCACGCAACTAAATGGCCGTTACTACCCGACAGTTTACAGTCACTCCCCACTTATTGTACATCCACAGGGCTGCCAACATCAATTTCAAATTTCCTGTTTTTTTCTGCGCCACTGTATATGCTCCGGAATTTGCTCCACTTTGGGATCTGTGTTTAATTTTGTTTGAACAATTCAAAGTTGGAGGTCCAGTGGTGTCGAGCGGATCATGAGCCAGTGGTGGCGCTCGGAGTGGCACAATGGGAAGTGGTAGCGCAGATTGCATCTTCGTCGGATTTGCGGCGCTGAGAAAATCTTTTTGCGCTTTTTGGTGGTCGCGTAGTTTACTGGGTCTGATGAGCGCATTGTTTGTATCTGAGCTCGCAGTGGCTTCTCTACGTTTTTGTTTTATAATAATATTTTATTTTGCATGTGTTTGGGTACAAACATTTGGCAAAAATTACATACAATTTTAATAACACGAGAGTGAGCCAATTGACCGTACTCCTAAGTATTACTTTTTTTTCAGATTAACACACACTAAACATATTTGATAAAACTAAAAACATATTAAAATATAAGATGATAAAGCATATATAATGATAAACAGAAAATAATGTAACAATTTATAGTCGATATGTCAGGTCTAAAGTATGATATCGTTTAATCGTCTGGTAGTGTCACTATTGTCTAGTAAGTTAATGGCAAGAATTGTTTGATGGTTATGTAGTCGTAAGTATTTTGCGCTGGTCTTAATTTCTTCTTTTATTGTTGTCATTTGTTAAGTCTCGGGGTGTATTGTGGCGTTCGGTACTTACCAAGGAGCATTTACAAATTTTCTATTAAGCCTTTAGATTAGAAACGTAATATTTCAATATTTGAATTTTGAGCTGCTCCCCAAAGCTGTTATTCCGTTTGTCCAGACAGGTTTTAGGCTTTTCTACTTGATCTCTCAAGTGGTTTGAGGAGTTGGTAGGATTTTGGGTTCGCATTTTTGTCTAGAAGAACCTGTTTGAAATTTCGACTGGCAACGTTCCTCTATGCATTTCCGTTTGAAAAACTTACCTGGGCGTGATGAATCCGCCCTTGTCAATTGAGTTTTTCTTGTTGGTCGCGCATTTTGATCGTTGTTTACAATTAGTATTATTTCAGGCGTAATGCGTGCGGGATTTTGTCTGCGGACGTTTTTGCAATCACTGTCGTTGCTAAGTCTCTATTTTGTTTGGTCAGTCGGGGTTTCGTGTGTTTGTCTTGTCAGCCGGGAATAAATGTGCAAATGACACGGTCCGCGTGACAGTGCCGCGGCGCTACGATGCACGAATTGCACTCTTCGGACAATTACAGTAATGTGTGGCCAGTAGAGAAGATCTTCAGGGGTATTTCCAGCACGTCCACTACTTCGCGATCGGCTCAGATGAACTCTAGGAACTTATTCCTACAGTTGCCCGTGAGCGGGTAAGCATAATGTAATAGTGTTCTACCATAATTGCCGTAGGTCGCGGTGTCTCCGCCTGTTAGTAAAGTCGAGCTAGTAAAGGAGGAGTTTTTTTTCTTGATGGGAGGGAGTGCGGGTGAGGATGGGTAGTAGGATGTTGGTGATCCGATGGGATTTAACTGTTTCGCTTCATCCTAAATTTCCTGAGATTTTGTTTTTGGCGATTTTTTGATGCCGCTGATGAAAGGACCAGATAGTGTGTGAAGTAGATCAATGTTTATATTCACTCTCGAAGATTTCCGTGAAGGACATTCTCTGAAACGTCTGTAGTCTTAGTTACGCGCTTCTTCAGACAGTTGCCCGATTGATAGACTATTGCTGACAATTACCTCACCAGGAAAAAAACCTTTATGCACAGATGGTGGCACGTAGTACTAATTACAATGTTTCAAGTAAAAGTTAAAGTATGTGTCTCACATATGTGCCGAAATTTATTGACCACAAGCAAGTTTCCAGAATAATCTTAAATTTGTGAATAAAATATTCTTGGATTTTAGTAATAGCAGCGCTTCGAGGTTCTTTTTTGAAAATTCTCCGGGCAGTATTACCGTTATTACTATTACTATATCCTTTCATCGGCCTGTGAATAATTAAACTCGTCTCTTTCTGAAATCTCTGCTGGATATAATTCTTCCTTGCTTCTACAATTTTTTTTGCCATCACTCCTTATTGCCCAAATTTTTACTTCCAAGTGGTAAGAAGACATTTTAAAAAATCGAATCATGGTATATGAAGGTGATAGGCTTAATTCCAATATACTTGGATTGATATGTTTATCCTTGAACAATCCCAAATATTAATTTCCTTAAATGCTGCACCGCATGTGTAACACTTCTGTGATGGAGTGTATTGCAATAAACTACTACAGACCTTGGCATCGACCATGGTGCACAGATCGTGCGTATCTACAATGATTTTTGTTTCTGTCACGGAATATGTAGGCACTAGCGCATCTATTTGAGAGCGAACGCTTCCCATTTCTTTCCTAATGACAGATTGAGTTTCTTTTACATAACTGATTTTGATAGTCCTACAAAATCGAGTCTACGATAGTGTATTTTGCCATATATTCGTACTCATAATATTCTTACCTCTTTTCGCGTCTGAATAGAGAAGTAGAAGTAGAGTGATACACTAAAAATGTTTTCGACCCATTGGTATTCACTATAATAATACAGTTGTTTGTAGTAGCAGCAGCTCTGATCCGTCGAACCATCACACCCACTAAGATATTAGCACGCATTGTATTTCATTTGTCTCTGTGCTTTCAAGAACATCACTCTTCACTTCGCAGAATCTAGAAACTGTGTAGTCCAGTAGCGCTTGCAATTTAATTTCTACATACTACTCTGTGATTACTACACTTTTCCTTTGAGGATAACATTTTTCTTTGGCATCTTTCACATCATACAGTGGGTAGAATTCGCATTTATTCAAGAAAATGTTCCCTAATTTTCTTGTACTGGATATATGTAGATCATTAATGCGAGAACCTGGTCACCGTTCATACGCCTGAGCTTCGTAGAAACCTCTTTTATAGCTTTTGACAAACTTGTGGCACGTTTAGGTAAGGGAGAGCAAGCAAGTTTAAACAAGGGAGAGCTCTGCTCAGAATCAAGACAGAGCTAATGTTTGCTGCATTTCTTTTACCAGAGTCTGAGACATTTTTGAGTAGCTGCAACTAATTCAGAGGACGTTGCTGTGTCGACGATAGACTTGGTGGTCACTGGTTTAAGCTTTGTGACAACACTAGCATAACTAAATAACTTTGTTAGTCCTATTTTTGTAATAGAAAATGAATTTGATGTACTGGTTGATGGACCTGTACAAGGAAATTTCTCTTCGCATTCGAATTGTTTTGAAAAGCACAATTCACTCCGTTTCAAAAATGCCTCGGATCTTGCAGATGTTTCCTCACACAACAAAAAAGATATTCTAGTGGGCCTTCATTGAAAACTCGTGTTCAAAAATTTAAATCTCACATTCTTTAACATATTCCATGTAAATATCAATGGCCTAATTGTTGTTTGCCCCCCACAGATAAAAATGTACATGCAAGTTTTATCCTCTTCCGTTGTGAGGTTGATTATTTTCCAATTATTCATTTCTTCTAAAATAGTTTGCCACATCTCGATATGTGGAGAACCTGTGATCAGGGCACATTTAAATTGCTTGCAGTCACTAGAAGTTAATGTCACTGTTAAGTGAATCAAAGTGTGACTATTTTCAAATTCTGCAGTGTAAATTGCCAGAGAAGGTAATGCCTCAAGCACAACAGTTTTTTACTTTTTTACGCTTTCGCATTACTTGAGGGTGGAGTCAAGCTGGCTACCCAGTGTCATTGATTTACATTATTGCGTCTGTTATTTCTTTGATCTTTTTTAATCATAATGTTTTTAATATTCTTTTCGATTAGTGCCCAATTTGTGTGGGTCTTTGTCATTTAAGTTATGTTGTCGGTACTTCCTGGGCTGTCGAGGTTTGTGATGACGTCGATCCTTTCATTTGCTCATGTTGAGCAGTTGAAGAGTGTGTGTTCTGCGTCGTTATTGTAGCCACAGTAGTCACAGTCAGCGCTGTCTGCTTTTCCAAATCTTTTTAAGTAAGATTTGAAAGATCCATGACCTGTAAGAGCTTGATGGTAGGAAACAGTCGTGTTTTCTTAAAACCCATTTTGAAAGGTTTGGTATCAGCTTGTACGTCCCTCTGCCTGTTACGTTTTTCTGCCAGGAATTTTCCCATCGGTCCATAAGTTTTTTTGAGCTTCTTTCTTAATGGCTGCGTGTTTGACTACGTCTGCATTGTCTCCATTAAATCGTACACCTCCTTACGTTCCAGTGCTAAGAGACTAATGGACGGGACGCTAGCTTGCACCAACACCGCGGTTTTCGAGACAGTTCTGTAGGCCGAAGTGATTCTTAGAGCACCCTTCCTTTGACCTGCTTCCAGTTTCGTCCGAAGATTTTTGTTTTTTTGCTACTTTTCCAGCCCAAACAAGTGCCGCGTACAGCAGTTTTGAGTGCATGACACTCATGAGCATTCTTCTTTTACATTGGCTCAGTCCTCTTACATTTGGCATGAGCCTCGAAAGTGCAGATGCAATTCCCTGAGCTCTTTCGGCTGCCGCGATTACCTGTGGACCCAAGCCGAGCTTGTTATCTATATTCATTCCTAGGTAATGAAGGAATTTCTGGGAGAGTATATTTTCTCTTCCAATTTTGAAGTTTGGGGGATAAACGATCTTCTGTGTGTAACTATGACTACTTCTGTCTTGCCGACAGCCATTTCCAGTCCTTTCTCCGCCAACCATGCTTGGACGCGTTCTAGGCTGTCATTTACTTTAATTTCGACGACTCTGATGGAGTTTACCGATGCTACGATAGCGGCATCTGCAAAACCGACCAGTATGACGTTCGTGGGCAGAGGAATTTCTAACAGGCTGTCATAGTGTACATTCCACATTAGTGGTCCAATTTTGGAGCCTTGGAGTGCACCGCAGGTCATTTTGTGCGTGTATTTTCTTTACTTTCGTATTCTACTGTTCTACCGCTTAGGTAGCTTCGAACTATGTCAAGGATGTACCCGGGGGTCTTTTTTTCCTTTAGGGCGGAGATTGTATCGTGCCACTTTGCTGTATTAAATGCATTTTTAATGTCAATGCTGACTAACGCGCAGAAGCCTTTTTCTTTAGTTTTTTCTGCAGTTTCCACAACCAGTTTGATGGCGTCTACTGTGGATCTGCGTTTTCGGAAGCCAAACTCTGTCTCAAAATAGTCCGTTTGTTTCCAGGTGGGTTTGGATTCTTTCCATAAGTAATCCTTCTAGAATTTTCACCATTGTATCAAGTAGTCCATATGGGTCTGTATGAGGTGGTCTCATTCAGGGGCCTGTTCCCTTTTCTAATAAGAATTTTTGGATCTTCCAGTGATCAAAAAATACTTTTTCCAGGCAATTGGTGTACATACGCAACAGAAGCCCTGGGTAAAACTTGATTATTGTTTTCATGGCTTCATTCGGGATACCGGCCGATTGTTCTTAAGGAAGCCTCCTACTTTCTGTAGATCCTCAACGGTAAATTTCGGGTAATTTCCTTGGGTATCCGCCTCTTGAGTCGTCTGCCGCTTAGTGGGGAATAGCGATCTTAGTATTTGTAGTATCCAGGAATGATTGTCCAGTCCTGGCGTCTGCCTTTTGAGGTCTAGTTTCTTCGTTACCAGCTGGAAAGGTTTTCCCATGGGTCGGGCTCCACCTCTTTTATAAGGGAGAACCAGCGTCGCCTTTTGCTGTCCTTAATGGCTTCTTACAACTTGTCCTTGCACTGGTTGTATTCTCTTTTTAGTGAAGGACATCCTTTAGAACTTATATATCTCCTCGCATTAAGACATTTCTTCCGAAGCTCAGAGATATCTTCAGTCCACCAGTACAATGGTTTCCTGTTTAGATGCGAGTGTAAGTTTCAAGACTGGCTGCAACTGTATGGCTTAAGCTGTGCTGCAGCCACCTTCACTTTCATTTTAATAAAGCTGTCTTTGAAGTGAAAATGTTGCTTTTTCAATTTTGGCAGAGTTTTAAATTTTTTTGCTGATCCAATTGAAAAACCTTTTAAATATATTCCATCTTGGCTTCTTTTTCAGCATGAAACGGAATTTTGTTTTCAATCAGAGCATTTCTGGTGCACTAAAAAAGGTGGGCTATGTCAGTAATTACAGAAATTGGTTGACTATTTACAAAAAATTGAAGAGACTTTGGATCAACATACTTCACTATGTACTTGGGTACACTATAACCTATGCACACGGAGTAAACGAATGTTACAATTAAAGTAAAAGGTACACTGACCCATGAACATGGAGTAAACGAATGTTACAATTAAACAGTAGAAATAGATGTTACAAAGCAGACTGGCGTGTTGTGACGGGCGGGTTGCGAACCCAGACCCATCGCAGACAGGCGGATAGCGTAAATGGGCAGAGTGCCGTTAGCAAAGCTCCCACGGCGTAGCACTGAAGACGTGCGGCAAGAACGCTCGCACACACGTGAACGGCCGGAGCGCCGTTGGCAAAACTTTCGCCAGGACGTGGTGCTGAAGACGTGCGGCAGGAACGCTCGCACACACGTGGACGGGCGGAGCGCCGTTGGTGAAAGCGAAGCGTCTGCAAACATGCGTGCAACAGCTGCGCTGCATGCAAAACACTGAAACAGCATAATGTAACAGTTCACCCGTGGCACTATTGTTTGCTAGGGCGCACAATATCAGATACGTGCGGCAGTATTGCACGAGCACATTTAGTGGGGCTGAAGGTCATGTTGAAGAGAGCGGCGCACGAACACGTCCGGTCAGGTCGAAAGCCAGGCTGGGAAGGAGGTGTGCAGCCTTGGACAAAGGCGTGTCGGTTGCCTGCAGTCCAGGCGAGAGTAGTCGAGCATCTGCCACGTCACGGGCGACGCTTCTAGAAGCCCACACAAAGAAGGAGGCCTGGCACAGAGACGCGCTGGTCACAGGGTTACCAGGAGAGAGTAATCGCTCAACCGCCACGTCACGCTTTTTTAGCGGCTCAACTCTCACTTTAACGTTTACTCTGTGTTGGTTGGCAATACTTTCTAGTACTCAAAACGATTAATAGAGAGCAGCATAATGTTTTCGACATTCAACTTTTCGTGCGACTTTCACTTTTTCGCTGTAGGATTGGAAATTTATTTTGTTTCCCGTGTTTTGGGCTTGGCGACAGTCAGTCGTAATTAGAGAAAACTTATGGAAATGGATGTGGAAGCAAAGGAGAGGCAACAAAATGTTTTTAAACATTTGTAAACTTTATTTTTTAAATGTAATTTAACTATAAATGAATGTTTAACACTAATTTCTATGAATTCTATCTCTGAAGAACCTCACAAATGTTTCCCGAACTGCTTCCCTTTGTGGCACTTCTAAATTTATGGCAGGGGTTATCTGTCCTTGAACTGCCAATTGCAATTGTTCTTGATCCATTCCTGGAACATGTGGAGGATCTGCTTCCTTCCTCTCAATGGCAATGTTGTGCATTACAGCAGATGCCACAATTATGGGCTGCACTAGTGAAATATCTTGCCTTATTCCCAATACCAAAATAGGGAATCTTGCTTTCCAAACACCGTATAATCTTTCCACTGTATTACGTGTTCTAATTTGCGATTCATTATACAAATTTTCCTCGGGTAAATAAAGGTTGCGAAGAGATGTCAACAATGTTGGTCCTATAATATATCCTGCATCGCCAAGCAGCACCCCATTCAAAAACTCCCCCCTCTCCACCCGAGCCTTACGTATAATTACAGTTTCTGTATATTGTCGCATAGTGTCTTGATCCATGCAATTATATGCCCCCGTGCAACTATATTTTGTATGCGCAAGTCTTGGTTTGCTCATTGAAGCTGAAGTAGCCTTTTCTGTTTCGAAAAACTTCAGCGTTGTGAACCAACAATTTTCTAAAGATTATTTAATTTTAGTAATATCCACAAAGATTTAAAGACAATCAAAATAAGGTTTGCAGTATTATTTATTCGATATTGAAATGACGATTGAATAAATAATATAGCAACCTCATGTTGACTGTCTTTAATCCTTTTGGGGATTCTTCTAAAATTAAGTAAATTCAGAAAATTCGGTCTGTACTTTCTCTTCGCTTTTCTTCAAAACATCAACCTCCCTCTCTAGTCGCGTGGTGCCCAAAGAGCACCCCTTTGGCCACCACGCGACTAGAGAGAAAGTACAGTCCGAATTTCTGAATGTGTCACATTACACAACTCTTTCACTTCACTTGGCCTATAAAACCTTCGCTGCTAGATGTAAAGGTGTTCGATCATTATTTAACGACTAATCATTAGTGAATGAATCATAAATATTATATTAAAACTGAACATTTCTTCTTCTTTATTTCCTACTTCATTCCTCAAATCCTCAAATAAAAATACAATAGTAAAGAGATGAATTAAATTATTATTTGGTATTATTAAATGAATATTGTCAATTACCAAACATGTATTAAATGAAATAAATTAAGATTCAACTACTAAATTTCATTAAAATTATTGATAAAACAAGAGGGAAATAACCTACAAGGTTGTGACAGGCAAACAAATAAAAATAGTGCATTTTAATTTTTTTTCTTTATTTAA